AACAAACAAACAAACAAACTTGTCCACGAAAATTAACTTCCTAAAGAGTTAATTACACACTGATAAACAAATCGTTTACTTTCATTTCGTTAAATAATACAATTGGAATAAATAAAGTAAATTAATTCATGGAAATTCTGTCACATTTTTTTTTCTCTGAAGCGTGGTTCACTGTCGCATGTCTACGAAATTAATTTGTTTTAGGTCCATGCGGCAAACTACCCCATCTGTTTGTTTGATACCAGTTTATACTTAAATGCATAGGCGGAGATTGGGAGTAAAATGTAAGGGGGAGGGCAAATAAAGCCTGACTTAATTATTGAATGTTATGTGTATACAATATCCCACAGAAACAATAATTGTTGGCAACCGCCTGTTGCCCTCGCCACAAACACCGTAATCCCGCCTATGCTTACATGTCCCACAATAAATAACACTTCTTTAAACATATATTGATTAATTTCAAATTCATTCCTGTTTGATAAAAGGTTTTATCTCATTTGGTATTATATTCTGTCTTCAGTACGTCCTCTACATACATAATCATTACTGCCCTATTTACCCCAAGGATGTACACTCTTTATATAAAAGCTTAACGAATGTTTTAATAATACAGTTACCTTTTGAATTACTTAAAAGTTAGTAAAATTTTTAACATAGTAACTAGCTGTTAAAAGGTTGCTGATTATAGCAACGCTATGGCCGACTGAAGCACTCATTCGCTTTGAAAAACAAAGAAATGTTAGCTTGTGAATGTAACTGTCTTTAATAACGCTTAATTAGTTTATATTTAACTTAAGAAACCCCTATATCAAGACACTTGTAAATTAGTACAGAAGTAGGTCGCATACATATATATATGTATGTAGTGTTTTTGTAGTAATTTATAAGAATATTCCACTACATAGTCATACATCATAAATATAATGTTCCTCGTGTTTTAAGTTCTAATGTACAAATAATGTTATATATTTAATATAAAAAATGCAAAATAAAATAAAAAGATACGTATTTAGTGGTCGTAAAGGTTAAAATAATTTTCATGCTGGTCATTTTGTGTATTGTTGTTTAGTCAGAGCTGTTACTTCTTAAATAATAGCAAAATCATTTCTGTATGTTTAATCTTACTTGTTAATCCACCACGAAGTAAAGTTGAACTTTCTAGTTATGTTTATGTAGTTATATCGAAATAAAAATTAACTGCTTATCCCCCTTTAATAACACAATGATATTTTAAATTTTTGACACAAATATAGCGAGTTTGTCTGTTTTTCTAAAGGCTAAAGAACAAACTACATCATCTGTTCCAACAAAGTTTGCTGAATCAGTGACAGTACTCTGTAGTAATCACTAGAGAATCCAGTATTGTCCCAGTGTCATACGGTGTTTACTAGAAGAAAGATATGAGAACTTTGAAGCCCATTATTCAGACGTTTCTCGCCGGAGTCTGTGTACTCGTTCTTGAAACGTTGCCATGGAGGCGCAACGTTCTTGTGGAAAGTTCGAGCGTCGCAGGTGAGTATTGATCTTTATCTTGGTCGCTTCAGTTAAAACATGGTTATAGTTTTGGTACAGAGTTTCCAAACGCTTCCATATAGTTTTGGAACAGGTTCTGCTAATGATTCCTTACAAATTGGGACAGGCATTCCATTTCTTTTCCTTATAGTTTTGATAAAGGTCTTTTAAATACTCCTTTACAGTTTTGGTGCAGGCCTTCCAAACGCTTCCTTGTAGTTTGGGTACAGGTCTTCCAAAACATTTCCTCATAGTTTTGGTACATATCTTCCTAATGTTTCCTTTAATCTTGGTGCAGGTCTTCCGAATGCTTCCTTATAGTTTTGGTACAGGTCTTCTAAGATTCAAAGCAGGTCTTCCTAATGCTTTCTTATAGGATTAGTAAAGATCTTCCAAGTTCTTTTTTAAATACTTTGTTAAGGGTCCAGACACAAAACTGGCTATCGCTACATAGGCTCTTTCAATTATATTTTTTTAATATAATGTTTTATTTTAGTATGAAAATAAAACTATAACGAATCAGCTTATCCCTTGAAATAGAAAAGTTAGCAATATATATAATTTTAACTTATTCACATGTTCTCCCATATATATAGATATATATATATATATATTACATCTTAGCGATAACCTTAAAAATATGTTTCACAACTGTAGGTTGGTATGCAAGAAACTTAACATGTATATTTTAATATACTAGTGTGAATATATGTTCAGTAAATGGCATACAAAATAATCCAAAAAGAACGGAAATACGTTATACATATTAAAAATCGCTCTCATTTCACATAGAGAGAAAATACCTATGTAAACTATTATTTGACAAACGTAAGTTAGTATGTGTGTCCGTTTGTAACTGTCAAACAGGCGGAACAATTGTCAAGAAATATAACATGTACCCTTAAGACACCTGAGGAGTGAAATAGAAGGGTCGGTGCTTGGCTTCGGCTCCCTGTGTCTTCCCCATAGCGCTAAAGGGTACGTCAGGTTGTATTTTATAAGACAAGTTTTCGTAAGATGGGTCCGTGAAGGAAGTTTCAATAAGTTTTGATAAAAACTAAAGATAGATAATACTCCATGCTGATCACACAATAAACGTATACTGATTTAATGGTATTAGAAATAAAATAAATCTTACACCGTAATGGAGTTAAATACGTAATTAGCGGATTTTGTACTTAGAACCCTGAAGTTAAAATAAAAGGCTTTATACTTGGTGTCGATAAATACACTTTTGATCAATAATGAAAAATAAATAAAATAGATTAAAAATGCTATCAATAATTAAAAAAAAAAAGAATTAGAATCATAACATTTTGCTTCAATCGTTTTCTAGGTTATAGTTCTATGCACATATAAGTTTGGTAGTATGGGTTTATTAACTAGACGTGCTTCCGTAGGGTCTCCGAAAGTGTTTTGTTTTAAGAGTAAATAAAACCAAAATTAAGAGTAACAAATATTTTTTCATTCATTGCTTTTGAAATTTGTATGTCATGCTGTGTTGTAGCCTACAGAGTGCATAGTTCTTCTCGTGATTCATGGCATGCGCACGTTTTACTGACTGACATCACGACAGTACAAATTGCAACATTAAACGTCCCTTATGTGAGATTATTTTAGTGCCTACTGACTGACTGACAGAGAACACACTACTGTATAGTGATGCGAGTGGCTAAAACAGGTGACCCCTCCAGGCGGTCTTCGGTTCTCTTTCTGGGAAATAACTTACGTTTTCTGAGCTTACTTGGGGCTGGAAGATGTAGTATTTAAGACATATGCAGCTGTTTTAAACTCCATTTTTTAATTATTTATGCATGATTATTTTCAAGACTTCTTGTCTTATAGGTAACATTAACACATCCTCTAAGAATACGAAAATTTTGACTTAGACTCAATATTTATAATTAAGTAACTCTAGGATCACCGGTTTTTATTGGTTTAGTAGGCGATAACGTACTTAGGCCTACATAGTGTATTTCTTTAATTGTGGTTGCATACGTGAACATAATTATTCCTCACACATTTAAAAGTTTCGGTTATATCTATACAGGAAACAGTATCATTTCTACTTATGCTAAATTGTCAGCCTTTGGAATTAGTATAAAATATGAGATCACTTCCGTCTGAAACTGTATGCATTTGACTACTGAACATTATTTACAACTCAATCTACTTATTATAACTAGCAGATAGTTCACAATTGACCTGAGCAGCAAACTAAGACATTGGTTTTCCAAATTTGACTCAGCGACGACCCTGAAAGCTCATAACGTCAAAAGAAGGAAGAAGAAGAAAACTGGGTTCAATATCTGCAGTGGGCAGAGCATAAATAGCCCATTGTGTAGCTTTGTGCTTAACAAAAAAAAGAAAAAGAAAGCCAAATCTCCAAAGTACAGTAATTCTTCAAATTTTGTGTAAAATATTATTACTCAAAACTTATTTCAAATTCAGTTAAAGTATAGACATGAAAAAATAGTTAGTCGACGACCAGGGTGACTCAGATGTTGGTTAAAGAAAACGAGCATGTTAATTTTCTTTTACACCCAGTGAAGCGGTATGTCTGCGGAGTTACAACGCTAAAATCCGGGTTTCGATACCCGTGGTGGGCAGAGCGCAGCTAGCCCATTGTGTAGCTTTGTGCTTAATTACAAGCAAACTCCCCCCCCCCCCCGAGGCACAGCGGCAAGTCTGCGGATTTATAACGCTAGAAACCAGGTTACAATAGGCCATTGTATAGCTTTGTGCTTAACTACAAACAAACAGACACTTATCCTTAAAACCTGACTTTTTTTAGAGTGCTTATACATCATCAATAGAAAGAAAAAATTGATTCTGTAAAAAAAAGGGAGGTTTGAATCCAAATTTGGTGTCGTTGAATAAAAGCATATAAACGATACTAAAATGACTTACTCTACCGAATCTCTTATTAGTCATGATTTACTATTCAAAGATGTAATTTTGTACAATTCAATTTAGTATTTTGACAAAATTTTACTCTAGCATACATTTTCGACACACAGATAGTGCCTTCGTGAGATCAATGTGTAGAAAAAACGTTCAGCAAATTTTGACCACCTGCAGAGTCCGTTGTGGAAGTTTCCACGTGTTGTAAGCTGTTATGCGTGCTTCACTTGAACCAATGAGACGTGAATAAGCGAGAAGATTAATATTAAAAATGATGAAACTGGTTATCATAACGACACAATAAGAATTTTTTATTAGATGCAATAAGAATAAATGGATAAGGACGTATTATCTTCTAAAACTGGTTACTTTGATGAAAAGAAACTTTGACAATTGCAACACAAAAAATGCACATTCTCTAAGAACATTCATTTTAGAAGAGATTCAAAGAAACAGAAAAACGTAAATGATAGATTATTCCTTACAGGATTCGAAGAAAGGATTAGAAATTGCGAACAGTAAAAAATAGTTAACAGAATCTGAAGAATAAAGACCACTAATAATGCCTTTACTCCAAATAAAAAAAAATATGAAAAGTATTTCAATGCATTATCTGTGGCTCTTTTATACGTCTCTCTTAGGAATTAGAACTGTAGATAAGATATTTTAAATAGATCAATGCAGAATTAATGGACTTGATATGAATCAACAATTATGAAAAAAGATGGATTTAAAAATGTAGAACATTTCTTGTGTAGACGTCCCTTGTAGCAGGTCTTTTAATGCAAAATAATTAACGGCGTTTATACTTGATTTGAAAACGATTTCTGAGATTAAATCATTAACGAAATAGACTGAGCACTGAGCAGTATCAGTATTTGGTCGTTGTGCGCGACCTAATAGGGTCAGGTTCACTTTGTACCTCTTCCTCCGACGAAATGAAAACGTTATCTGTTTAACAATCTTAAATTCGCTCTAATGGGCAGTGAAGAACGAATGATAACGATTCTCGTATAACCAAAAGAAATATCTTATTATAAAATATACCGTGTATCCAGTGACAATAAATTGTAATTCACAGTACTTTGCTTTGTGGAGTTAGATCTCAAGAGAAACTGTTACGACATTTTAAAATGACAAACAGCTAACGAGACATCAATAACTGTCTTGTTTTTAGTTATTATTACTGTTCTTTAAAGATCTTTAGTTTCTTGTTGATTTCACTCCTCTCTATTCTAGCGTAATCCAAGAGTTGGCGGTGGGTGTTGAATTACCTTCCCATTAGTCTATTACTTCAGAAGAATGAACGGTTATGCGCAGAAAATCCTCATGTAGCTTTGTGGGAAATTCAACAACAACAAAAAACTTTCCACTCTTGAGTTTTTGTGAAGACTAATAATTCCAGTTGCATTGTGCTTCAGCTTGGCTAACAGATAAACATAAAGTCTGTTGCTACATTGCGCTTCAGCTTGGCTAACAGATAAACATAAAGTATGTTGTTACATTGTGCTTCAGCTTGGCTAACAGATAAACATAAAGTATGTTGTTACATTGTGCTTCAGCTTGGCTAACAGATAA